GTTTCTTCCTGTTAAAAGGGAGTTTTTCCTCTCCACTGTCGCTACAAGCATGCTTAGTGTGGGGGATTGTATGTGAGTCAATGGGTCGATGCAATCAACTGGTTTTCCTTAGATATAAAACTTTGTATCAATTTGACTGTATGATCTGGTTGAACTGTAAAGTGCCTTGAGATGCCATGTGTTGTGAATTTGGTGATATATAAATAAACTGAATTGAATTGTTCCGTTTCCAGTAGAATGGTGAGATTGCACAAAGTGAATGTTTACAATGATGAAAGAAATCCAACACAAAATTCATCAATGAATGTGTTTTAAAGCTCAATACTTCCAAACCTCAAAACTAGCTTGGAATGAATAAAACAAGGCTAACATTAACCCCATAGATGACCCCTATTTAAACCCTGCACAAAGTGTTGCAGTTATTGTTACCAGGCAGGACCTATTATAGGATATGATCATAGAAGCAGTCAAATATTGAACCAAAATTAAGAAAACACCTGTGAGTGTTTTGAATCAATGTTTAATTTATCCTTTGGTGGATTATTAGAAATATAAATGTTTTTACTTTTGCACCACATTTTGGTCATGAAAAATTTATCATTCAAGTTTTATTAAGAAAGCCTTGTCTATAGAAGACCATTATATTGATATGTAACTGAAAACATAATAGGACCATTTATCTATCATACGACCCATTATATAAAGTTAAAGTTAAAACACTGCAAAAATAATCTACGTAAAGCTTTCTTTAATTAAATGTATTGACCCTTAATTTAAGTAGGTAAATAAGAGGATTTGCAAATGGAATTTATTTTTACTCTTAGAATAAGATAATTAAATAAAATGCACTTGAAATAAGACACTCCAATTGTTTTTCTTATTTTAATATAAATTGTCTTGTTCTATTGGCAAAGTGTCTCGCTTACCTCCTGGATCCAAGAAAAAAATGCTCTTATTTAAAAAAAAAAAAGACATATTAAGATTTACTTTTTTTGCAGTGAACAGTGGACCCTGTTAGGCTCTGAGTTGCCGAAAAGCAAACTGCCCATTGGTTTCAACAATGATATTTTCTACATGAAGGGTTAGAGCAGAATTTAATTGCTCTGAAAGCTGAGGTCTTATGGAGGCAGGGTGCAGTCTGGCAGTTCAGTTTATTTATATAAGTAGCCTTAATTCACAACATGTCAGAGACAGAGACAATCCAATCAGAAGCAGGGTCGGTATGAGTGGCCTGTCTGGGGTTCATAGACACAGAAGCAGACAAAAAGTTGTTGGAAAAGGCAACTATAAGCTGTGTTATTTAAAACAGATTTGGTGAAATTTGAAAATTCAATCCTTTTCTAAGACGCCCCTATTCTTTCTGTTTTTATACTTCTATCTTTGTGTGAATTTGCATGCTTTGCATTGTATCAATTTCCCTTAATTTTCAAACTGAGGGACAGTGAGGGAGATTTGTTTTTCATTGCAATATAAGTAACAATCCAAAGATCTCAGTAAAGAATCATGGGGCACAAGAACAGAAAATG